CGATGAACAAGATGCATAGGATAGAACTTCTGGTGAAATTCCAACTTCAATCGTTTATAATCCCAAGATCCCGTATCATCACATAGCCTATACCATGTCAATTCATCTCCCTTCAAATATAAAGGTAAGACCTTCCTTTTGACAACATCATCGGGAATACCTGCAAGCTTAAATAATCCACAAACTTCATCCACAAAGATAAGGTGTAAATCGGGATGCAATGTTCCATCTCCTGCAAAGGGATTAGCTAGCAGTTTCTCTATCATACCCGAAGGAATCTCAAAGTAAATATTTTCAGTAGGTTCAGTAGGTTGAGGAGCAACTATTTGCTCTTCTGGTCGGGGTGAAGATACCCCGAACAAGCCCCTCAAAGGATTAGTTTCCATAGTAACAAGTAACAGAAAATTTCAGCACACTATATAAATGTTCCCTTACCAAGTTCCACTCACCAAAAGCGCTACGCTCCCCGGCAACAGTGCCAGAAAAGAGTCTTGATGACCCACAAGTATAGGGGATCTATCGTAGTCCTTTCGATAAGTAAGAGTGTCGAACCCAACGAGGAGCAGAAGGAAATGACAAGAGGTTTTCAGTAAGGTTTTCTCTGCAAGTACTGAAATTGTAGGTAATAGATAGTTTTGTGTAATGAGTAACAAGCAATGAAAGTAAATAAAGTGCAGCAAGGTGGCCCAATCCTTTTTGTAGCAAAGGACAAGCCTGTACAATTTCTTATAATGAGAAAAGTTCTCCTGAGGACACATGGGAATTATCGTCAAGCTAGTTTTCATCACGCTCATATGATTCGCCTTCGGTACTTTGATAATTTGATATGTGGGTGGACCGGTGCTTGGGTACTGCCCTTACTTGGACAAGCATCCCACTTATGATTAACCCCTATTGCAAGCATCCGCAACTACAAAAGAAGTATTAAGGTAAACCTAACCACAACATTAAACATATGGATCCAAATCAGCCCCTAGCGAAGCAACGCATAAACTAGGGTTTAAGATTCTGTCACTCTAGCAACCCATCGTCTACTTATTACTTCCCAATGCCTTCCTCTAGGCCCAACTAATGGTGAAGTGTCATGTAGTCGACGTTCACATAACACCACTAGAGGAGAGACAACATACATCTCATCAAAATATCGAACGAATACCAAATTCACATGACTACTAATAGCAAGACTTCACCCATGTCCTTAGGAACAAACGTAACTACTCACAAAGCATATTCATGTTCATAATCAGAGGAGTAATAATATTCATTAAGGATCTAAACATATGATCTTCCACCAAGTAAACCAATTAGCATCAACTACAAGGAGTAATCAACACTACTAGCAACCCACAGGTACCAATTTGTGGTTTTGATACAAGATTGGATACAAGAGATGAACTAGGGTTTTGAGAGGAGATGATGCTGGTGAAGATGTTGATGGAGATTGACCCCCTCCCGATGAGAGGATCGTTGGTGATGACGATGGTGATGATTTCCCCCTCTCGGAGGGAAGTTTCCCCAGCAGAACAGCTCCGCCGGAGCTCTAGATTGGTTCCGACAAGGTTCCGCCTCGTGGCGGCGGAGTTTTGTCCAGTAAGCTTGCCCACTATTTTTTCCAGGGTAAAAGCCTTCATATAGCAAAAGATGGACACCGGAGGGCCACCAGGGGGCCCAGGAGACAGGGGGCGCGCCCAGTAGGGGTGGGCGCGCCCCCACCCTCTTGGCCAGGGTGTGGGCCCCCTTTGGTGTTTCTTTCGCTTAATAATTCTTATTAATTCCAAAAATAAGTTCCGTGGAGTTTCAGGATTTTTGGAGCTGTGCAGAATAGGTTTCCAATGTTTGCTCCTTTTCTAGCTAGAATTCCAGCTGACGGCATTCCCCCTCTTCATGGTAAACCTTGTAAAATAAGAGAGAATAGCCATAAGTATTGAGATATAATGTGTAATAATAGCCCATAATGCGTTAAATATTGATATAAAAGCATGATGCAAAATGGACGTATCACAGAGTTCTTACTTACCATCCTGCAGTTCACTGTTGTCTTGCATAAAGTGTAAACATATAGTTCGATTGACATTTTTTGACCCATTTTAATAACAATCTTTATCAGTTTCCTCACTTGATGCTGGTTCATGAATATCTCATTGCCACATAAGCAGAAAGGGTCGAAGTGTGGATCTTTGGCAATGACATGTGTACCTAAAAGCACCAAGTTAATATTAGAAGCTAAACAACAATTGAAAAATCATGTAGTACAACACTCCCTCCATCCCATTATATAAGATTTTATACACGTATATCTAGACATCATCAGAGGTCTGGGCGGCAATCATGCAATCGTCGGCGGAGAAGGCGGCGGGCGCCGATGGTTTCAGCGACACTTTTTTCCGTGCTTGTTGGTTGATCATCCGCGACGACATCATGGCGGCTTTCCACCGTTTCTACCACCTCGCTGGTGGTAATTTAGCTGCCCTGAACACTGCCTTTGTGGCGTTGCTGCCGAAGAAGGATGGGGCCGTGCGGATGACAGACTTTCGCCCAATCAGTCTGATCCACTCGTTTGCGAAGCTGCTCACGAAGGTGCTATCAATCCGACTGTCAAAAGTAATCCACATGATCGTCTCCCCTGCACAGTCAGCTTTCCTGAAGACGAGGTGTATACAAGACAGTTTCTTGTATGTTCATAATGGAGTTCGTGCACTACACCATACCATAACCCCGACATTGTTACTGAAATTAGACATCTCCAAAGCTTTTGATAGTGTATCCTAGGACTACCTATTGGAGCTGCTGCAGGAACTTGGGTTCAGTGCTAGATGGAGAGATTGGATTGCTTGGCCGCTGTCAACCTCATGCTCTGAATTCCTTCTCAATGGAGCGCCAGGGAGCAAAATTCAGCATCGCAAGGGGCTTCGTCAGGGTGACCCACTCTCTCCACTGTTATTCATTCTGGCTATCGGTCCGCTGCAACGCCTGATCAATGAAGCGGTCCAGCAGCAGATGATGCAGCCGTTGCCGAGGAGGGAGTTGAAACTAAGAGTCAGCCTCTACGCTGACAATGCGGTCATCTTCATGAACCCGGACAAAGAAGAGATGGAGGTGTTGATCACCATCCTGAACATGTTTGGCGAGGCGACGGGGCTGAAGATCAACAGACAGAAATCAACAGCAACCCTAATTTGATGTGACAGTCTTAACATCCAGTAGGTCCTGCAGAGTGGGGCACCATCACCACCTTCCCGCTGAAATATTTGGGCCTCCCACTCACCCTGAGAAGAACAAGGCTAGTGCATCTTCAATTCGTCTTGGATCGGATCAGAGCAAGGCTCACAGGCTGGAAGGCAGAGTCATGATCATTGTTGGATGGCGGGTGTTAGTCAGGGTTGTGCTGACTGCCATCCCAACCTTTGCCATGACTGTGCTCCGTATGCCAAAGAAATTTTTCAAGGAAATCGACAAGTGAGATGCCGTTGTTTGTGGGCGCAAGAGGAAGAGCTGTCTGGGGCAAATGCAAGGTGGGTGGACCAAGGTGTGCTCCCCGCTGGACAGAGAGGGACTCAACGTCCTCAATCTTGAGCGATTTGGCCGGGCCTTGAGGCAAAGATGGCTATGGCTGGCCTGGAAGCACCCAGACCGGCCATGGGCGGGCATGGAGGTCCCATGCTCTGACTCTGATCGACTTTTCTTCAGCGCGGCCACCTCGGTCACGGTTGGCAACGGCCAGACGACCATGTTTTGGACTTGCTCCTGGCTCCAGGCAATCACGCTCCAGGTGCTCTTTCCGCGGCTATATAAGCACTTGAGGAGGAAGAACATGACGATCGTCGATGCTCTACGAGATGATCGCTAGATTATTGACTTGGCGACGGACAGACAGACCAGATCATATGCGACTGCATGGCCCTAGCGAGGCTCCTGCGCTCGGCACCACTCAACCTCAATACAAATGCGCGCGATGAGATAAGGTGGAACCTGGAGGCCAGCGGCTGCTACACCGCTTCATCAGCTTATCGGGCGCAGGTTCAGGCGAACCACACCTCCGTTTTCACACAGATCATCTGGAAGGCTTGGGCGCCAGGGAAGCTAAAGGTCTTCCATTGGTTAATGCTGCTAAATAGACTCTGGTGCAATGACCGGCTTCAGCGACGAGGGTGGTCGAACTCATATTTCTGTCAATTCTGCTTCAGAAACCTCGAGACGGCCGACCACATCTTCTGGTCGTGCCCTTTCACCACGACGATCTGGAGCAGTCTGTCTTTATGGACAGGTTGTGAGGCCCTGTGTTTGCAGTCCGGCCGCGAGTTCACGAGCAGTGCCGTCGGGTCATGAACATCGTGGAGGGCACAAAACCTGAGTTCGGAAAGGGCATCAGATCAATGACGATGCTCGCAGTTTGGGAAATCTGGAGGCACCGGACGACTGCACGTTCAAAAACAAGGAGGCATCTAGGCGAGACGTTCTGCAGGCCATCAAACGGGGCATCGACCTATGGAGGCAGGCCGGAGCAACATGTTTGCTGCACCCGTTCACTATGCCACCAGAGGAGATCGGGTGACGACCAGTTTCTGCACCTTTTTGTCGTAGTCCTGTCTCCTTTTTATTTTTATTTTTATTTTGTCTCTCTTGATCCTAGGATCACCACCATGTGCTTTGTTATCCATTGCTTCGTGCTATGATCAATATGAAAAGCCAGCAATGCTGGATCTTTCAAAAAAAAGTTTGGTCTTGAAACTTATCCTAACCCGTTCAAATCTGATGGATGTTAATCTCCATCAGATTAAAGCAAGAATCGGACGGTACTAAAAACGAAGAGATAGAATCCATGTCATCCCACGAGCAAGGGTTTTTAATTCCATCGTTCCCAAATCTGTCGAACTCTTCCGTTCCCGGCGGGCGGCGGCTGGTTTAGTCGGCGAGCTGACGGCGGATCTCCATCGATTCCTTGTGTTCTTCGGTCCCCTCCTCTCTTTCTCCTCTAGTAAACCACGCGGAGACGATCCAAGATGGGTGCCTGCTGCTGCTGTTTCCCCTCCAAACCCCCAAGGGAGAACCCAATGCACCCAACCGCAGAGCCGCTCATCCAGCGGAAGCCCAATCACACCCCTCCCTACCATCAAAGGCCCCCGGTGATCACCCATGCTCACAAGGTCGAACTCTCTCTCTTCTTTTGCTCCTTGGATCTGCTTGATGCATCAAGCGTACGACCGTGGTTGCCGGTGACTTCTGATCGTCGTGCGTTGGCTGGTCATATTCTTGCAGGGTATGAACGCTGTCGTGCGCCTGAAGACCGGCTTCGAGCGTTTCAGAACGAATGTGTACAAGTATGTTCAGAAGCCCAAAGAATTATGTGTCTTTGTTCAATATGGATTTGTGCTGAATTGAATTTGTTTTTCTGTGGTGGCAATTGGTCCTTGGCAGCAAGAATCCGAAGCTTTTTGAATCGCTTAGGAAGGACCAGTCCCCCAAGGTATGTGCCATCTTGATACATACATGAATGATAAAAATAATAACTTCGTTGTTCAACGTGGCCACTGAGTGTACTCTACATGTTGTCTCCACCGAGCATTCCTTTAGCTCTCCAACTTTAGAAGTTTGTCAGTAAATTCGGAACCTTAACCAAGGATGTATTCGTGAGATATGTTAATATCTCAGTAATTACCTGCCTAGGCTAGCAGTGTACATGGAGCTAAACATATTACATAAACCAGGATGATAAGAAAACATGGGCTACGAAGGACAATTATTTGGTTGCTAGAAAATACTGTAGCAGTCTCTCATTTGCAAGATTGCTGTTTGGGCCCAGGGTATGGCTGCCCTTCATGATTCACTTGCTGGTACCTATGTTTTGGTTGAAGGTTAAACTACATGAAGGGGTGCCTGATGGCAACAACTTACCGCCTCTGGGCAATTGAGCAATTATTACACTTGCTGCAGCTGATGTGCTTCTGATATACATTTGTGCTTGTTGCTGACAACACTCTTAACTCATTCTTACTTGCAGTACATGGTGTTTGCATGTGCTGACTCGCGTGTGTCTCCAACAATAACCCTCGGACTGAATCCAGGAGAGGCCTTTACTGTTCGAAATATTGCCGGAATGGTTCCTGCCTATCAAAAGGTTCTTTATTGTGTACATTGTTTCATTCTATATTATTGTGGACTATTTAGTAACTCTCGCTTGTGTATTTGAGATGTATACTGAGCTGCACTTGCATATTGGTTGCAGACAAGGCACTGCAGCGTCGGGTCAGCCATCGAGTTTGCCTTAGTTGTCCTCAAGGTTGCTTCTTCCTTCTCGTTTTCAATACCCTTGACACACGAAAGTGTGCTTTTATTCAGGAATACAACTGTCTCATACAACTTTGCAGTTAATTTATTTATGCCAGTGTGGCAAGGTTGGTTGGTAAATTGATAATTAGATAATTAGTCAATCTGGTAATGACTTCACCATGCCTTGTGCCTTCCATTTTAAGAAGGAGATAGTTTCTGTTTCATGTAGCATCTCTAATCTGCCCTAGATGTGATCCAATAAAATAAAGAAGAATTTTACCTCTCTCCATGGGTATATGTATGCTCTTCTCTTTAAGCAAAATAGGCTCTCTTTTCACGGGCGTATATCTTGTCAATTGCAAATGTTGTTTAACATTTGTGTTCTGTTGGGTCCAGTCTAGGAAGGTGAAACCGTGAAAGTGATGTGCTCAGAGAAGAGAACTGTCCTTAGGGAAAAAAATATTATCTTGTTAAGGTATAAAAAATGTACGTTCTCTCATAGCAACTCTCGAGTCAATGTGTGGCTATAGCCATTCTACCCAACCATAAGTATCATCAGAACAGTTTATAAATTTAATCATGTGTCAAATGATTCTAATATGGAAAAGTATTGTTTCAGATCACAGTATATCGTTTGGAGTTGGTATGGCCTGTAGAACTCCGTTAGTTATTGCACTCACTTAAAGTGTCGAAAGGGATACCCTGGATAGTTTCGGCAATCAATAAACTGACATAAACTTGTGCTTACTACTCCCTCCGTCCCACAATATAAGAGCTTTTTTGACACTGCACTAGTGTAGAAAACGCTCTTATATTATGGGACGGAGGGAGTACCAATTATGGCAATTGGTATATTCTCCATCAAAAGGACTTGATGGACATCCATTTGGCAGGTTGAGTGCATTGTTGTGATTGGTCACAGCCGCTGTGGTGGCATTAGGGAACTACTCTCGCTGAACGACGAAGGGCCTAACGCCTAGTAAGTAAATGTCTCCATACTTATTATGCACAGAAAAAAAAAACATATATACACAAGGGGTCCAAATAAGTAATTACTGTATGGGCAAGGATGAAGGATGGACCCGATTTTATCCTACTCAAACGAGTCTTAAGAGGAGTGAACTAAAACATGGCTTCAGTATTAGTTTGTCCTCTCAGTAATTTTTATTTGAGCTCACTGTTTGTTTCGTTACTTAGCCACTTCATTGAGGACTGGGTGAAGATCGGTATGGAGGCCAAGAAGAAGGTCCAGAGAGAAAACAGGTTGTTGCCTTTTGACGACCAATGCACCGTGCTGGAAAAGGTAAGATTGCTTAAAACATTTTCATTTCCTCTTGAGCAGAATAGTGGGCCAATTGTGCACCACCGGCTTCCCTCTACTTACTATCCTTTGGGCACCTTTCATCTTTATTAGTACTAGTAGTTAACTAACGTCCCATAGTAGTCAGATAAACGCTCATCTTGCATTTCTGCATGGTGTGTGCGCAGGAGGCCGTCAACATTTCCCTTAGAAATTTGAAGTCGTACCCGTTCGTCAAGGACAGACTGAACAAGGGCACACTGAATTTGATTGGTGCCCGCTATGACTTTGTCCGCGGAAGCTTCGAAACGTGGAATGCCTGAAGTCAAGTAGTGCAGAAATGGTTACTAGCTAGCCAGTCGCAAATATTTCGTCGAAAAAGGCTAGTTGCATGCATCGTGCTGGGTTTGCATTCCGTGCAAGTCCTTTGGGTACCGCCAAGATAGTTTTTTTTTACAGCAATATGTTTTATTCCTCAAACAATAGCCATGTCATGTACAAGTAATTGAGAAATAAAAGTATAAAACCAGGGATAGAATCCCCCAAAAGCTAGAAGATGTAGTATGCAGTACGGACGGAAGGTATTGGATTTGGAGGATGGCGCCAAGGAGATAATGACCCATGTTTTTTCTAGTACCTGTCCCTACATATACAATCTTAATGTGAGATATGGCGTGTGTGTGTGTTTTGATGGGGTGAGATATGGCCTGTTTGGTTTGTATATAAGGAGGCTACCATTCTCTTTTTCCCCTCTCGATAAATTGCTTTAACATTCTGTGTCAGTTTATACGCTGATGACGCTATAATTGTTTGGTGGGGCGTCTGGTCTGCAAATGAGCTCAGCCAAATCATCTGTTGCACCCATCCGCTGTCAGAACAGCAATTTACAAGCGGTTCTCAAGGATGTTTTGGCAAAGGGAAACGTCTATAGCCGGTCGACCGGCCGAGCGTTCGGCCGGTCCCCTCGCTCGCGTCGCTAGGCAGCCCAGGCCCACCAACCACAGAACTTATCTCTAACCCCACCACTTCCATCTTATCCCCTCGCTCTTTCTGGAGACCACACGAGGCATCCTCGTCCTGCTCGCCCTTCAGTCCTCGAGTTCTCAATCTCTCCTCCTTCCTGTGTTCTCACCAAAATACACACCTAATCCCCATGAAACTGAGCTCGTTTTTGTTGCCTTCTCTGCTCCGCGCAACATTTTTCCTCCATAGATCCATGAGAGGGGTGAGCTCGTCCGTGCTTTTTTCCTTTTTTTTCTCTCATGCCATGTGCAGTCCGCCATGGATCCCATGAGGTTGGGCTCAAGCACAAGATTGATGTTTCTTTTCTTGCTGTTCATATTGGAGCAGCGTCCAAAGGGCAGGACGACCGTGCTGCAAGCTCGTGCACCCGCTGCGTTACCATGGTGTGCGACGGCGGAGACCGGTGCCGGCTGGGGCAGCGATGCAGGAAATGGCACACCTCGTTGCTGGAACCGGCCGACTGGAAAGCTGCAACCGGCATCCGATGATGCTGGAACCAGTAATCATTTTTGCTACCACGGGCGTTTGGTTTTGCTGGAACCACCGCCAAATTTGCAAGTTTGCTACTACTAACTTTCTGGTTTGCTGGAACAAGCTTGAATTTTTGCTGCATCGGCGTTTTTGACTTTTGCTGGGGGACAACTTTCATTCTTTTTGTTTTGCAATTTTTGCTACCACCGTTTCCTTTTTGCTGGATCCGATGCAATTTTTTGCTACATTCGGGATGGATGGAGCTGCATGATAGGGAGCTGCATCTTAGTTTTTTGCTGGAACCGGGACACGGATAGCTGCTACCAGCGATTTTTTTGCTTCAACGGAGATGAGACCCAGAGAGTTTTTTTGCTGGAATGAAATTTCTTCATGAGGTGCGGTGGCGAGGCATTTTTTTTGTGCTGTAATTTGTGCTTTTTGCTGGAACCATGTTTTGATTTTGCTACAACGAGCATTTGATTTTGCTGGAACCGCCTGAAGCAGATTTGGGACCAGTTTTTTTAGTAACTGATTTTTGCTGCAACCATCCAACCGGCGAGCGGGCCCGGCCGGTGAGCTGCTCCGGCGAGCGGCGACGGCGAGCCGGTGAGCGGGTCCGGCGAGCCGGCGAGCAGCGGCCACCGAGCTGCAATCGTCGCTACATGGAGCTAGAACCGCAGGGTCACGTTGCTGGCGCGAAACGCAGGAGGCGACGTCGGCGACCGGTGACGACGACGGCGACGGGCGGCGAGGGCAGCGACAGGGAAGCCAAGGGGGAGGTGCTTCGAGGCTGGCGCGTCGGCGTCCATGAAAACTTTTTATAAAAAAAGAAGACATTCGAGGGAAAGGAAGAAGTGAATCGTGCGGCTGCTGATTGTTTAATCGTACGATGCTGGTACGACCGGCTCAAATTTGGGCCGGTGCACCGGCGCCTATCACTCGCCTTTGGCAAATTAGTAGGCTTCCCCCTTACCTACTTGGGCTTCCCGATCACCTTGGGCCGCCTGAAGAAAGAAGTTCGTGTTTGATCGCATCAGAGCGGAACTTGCTGGCTGGAAGGGCAGACTAATGAACCACGCAGGGCGTAGAGCACTGGTGCGTTCTGTCCTCTGCACGATCCCCAATTTTGCTCTCGCAGCAGTTCAGGCGCCGGCGGGGTTCTACAGGGACGTGGACAAAGTTTGCAGGCGATTCCTTTGGGCACAGGAGGGCCACAGCTGAGAGGTGGGAAGTGCAAAGTAAACTGGCCATCTGTATGCACTCCGGTGGAATACGGTGGGCTAGGCATCCATCCATGATATGGAAAAGTTTGCAAGGGCACCAAGGTCTTAAGGAGTTGATGGGCCGTGCATTCGCCCATCCATGGGGGTGCTCATCATGGGGGCGTCTCGGAGTTGATGACATCGTGTGTTTGCCGATCCTTCAGATCGGCGGCGTTAGGGTTTATGGATGGTGTCGGCGAGGCGGCGGCGATGACTCCATCAGGTGTGTCTCTCCTTCTGCTCTGTCCATGTTGCTACGGCGTTATCTTCGACGTCATGGTGAAGCAGGGAGGTTTTATCGTCTAGGAGTACGCGCAAACGGTTGTCTACGCAAGTGACAGCTGGAAGATGGCGCATCTTGTGTTGGGTTTGTTGTTGAAGTCTGATAGTCCTGGTTTCCTCCTCCGACGTCATAGTCGTGCGAGGGTGTCAGTTCTGGAGTTCGATGGCATGTCTGGGAACATGTTGGTCCGATCTGATTCTTTCAACGGCAATGGTTTTGCTTCACGCAAACTATTTTTGAGGTGCGTAAAGCTGCTGATCAGCGATGGAGCTGCGTCGAGCTCGTGTGAAGAGGTGATATGTCTCCTTTTCCTTGGTGGAGAGGGACATGTGCTGGTTTTTGCATAGGATTATCCTATCTTTTCAGTCTTGTAATATCGATATTTATGTGGCTTGTAACTGAATCTTTATTTTATTAATGAGACACGTATTATCATGAAGAAAAAAAGGCACTAAGGTTACGCTGGCTATGGCTGTCCTGGTCAGTGCCAAGCAGGCCATTGTTTGGTTATGAACTTCCATGCGATCAGAAGGACAGATCCAGCTGGATTTGGTTCTTTTGCCGCCCCTCTCTCCCCTCTCGGGGAGCACATGTAAATTTTGCTACTCCCTTCAAGGATAGGGTCTTTAAAAATAAAAGGTTTACGCTAATTAACTCCCATGCGCGTGTTTGTAATTGGCATCCAGATTTTGCGGCTAAATTAGAGGTGTCTCGCCCCTATAAGATTTGTTTCCCTGCCTCCCATTTCCTGCTGCGGGGCCCATCCCTGACTTCCCTCCATGCCCTCCGTTACATTCCCCTAATGCCGCCATCGCACCTCGCCGCCACCGCGGCACAATCTCCGGCCTCATCGCGAGGTCGGCGTCCCCGCCATGGCGGCGCGATGATATCCGCCTCCTGCTGTCGCGCCGCGGCCCTCGCCTCCCTCCTCGCGGCCGCCGCGGCCACATCGTTCCTCACCTTCTCGCTGCCATTGTCCCCCGGCGTGTCCACCACCAAGCACACGGGAGAATTGTCCGCCGCGAGCTCGACGCCGCCGCCACATCCAACATTGGCTACGGTGTCACCTCCACCGCCCGCAGAACCAGCTAAGTCCGCGGCGAGGCCTCGAAAACGAGAGGTACGTACGTGTCCGCATGCAGGTTGGGGATTGAAAGTAACGGCGTTGTCTATTTTCGTTCTGTGTCGTGGTGATCAGCCGTCGTATTGGAGGATGGCGCCGGAGGAGGCGCTGAGGTACGCCAAGAAGGAGATAATTGCCGCTGAGCCGGTCGTCGCCGCCGACCCCGACGACCTGTACGCGCCTCTCTTCAAGAACGTCTCCCAGTTCAAGAGGTACTAGCTAGCAGAGACATGCTCAACATTATAATCTCTGCATTTTCCTAGTATATATTCAGTGAGTGACTAAACGCATCATCAATTTAATTGTAGCGAAAATGTGATCATCATCCAGGAGCTACCAACTGATGGAACGGACACTCAAAGTTTACATTTACCAGGACGGTCGGCGGCCCATCTTCCACACCCCTCCACTCAGCGGCATCTACGCGTCCGAGGGCTGGTTCATGAAGCTCCTCAAGGAGAGCAGGCGGTTCGTCGTCGCCGACGCCGCCAAGGCACACCTCTTCTACCTGCCCTACAGCTCGCAGAATCTCAGGCTCTCGCTCTACGTGCCGGACTCGCATAACCTGCGCCCCCTCTCCGTCTACCTCAGAGATTTCGTCAAGGGCCTCGCCGCCAAGTACCCCTTCTGGAACCGCACCAGAGGCGCCGACCATTTCCTCGTCGCCTGCCACGATTGGGTAATCAAATCATCTGGATGACTCAACATTTTTGTATCGCAGTCGCAGTACGATTTTACTGGAGTAATTCTGAATTTGGTTGCAGGGACCATACACGACCACGGCGCACCGCGACCTCTCCAGGAACAGCATCAAGGCGCTGTGCAACGCCGACAGCTCGGAGGGGATCTTCACGCCCGGGAAAGACGTGTCTCTCCCGGAGACGACCATCAGGACGCCCAAGCGGCCCCTCCGGTACCTCGGCGGGCTCCCCATCTCCCGGCGGCGCATCCTCGCCTTCTTTGCGGGCAACGTGCACGGCAGGGTCAGGCCGGTCCTCCTCCAGCATTGGGGCAAGGGGCAGGACGAGGACATGAGGGTGTACGCTCTCCTCCCCGGTAGGGTGTCCAGGACGATGACCTACATCGACCACATGAAGAACAGCAGGTTCTGCCTGTGCCCCATGGGGTACGAGGTGAACAGCCCAAGGATCGTGGAGGCCC